AGCAGAACCTCGACCCACCGAGGCCTTGGGCAGCTCCCTCCCCTGTCCAGGCTGTAGGAACCATCCATGAGCTGCTTACGTGAAGGGGAACTTGAAGTCGTTGGGCTTAATGCAGCGCACGTAGTGTGGGGTGGTGGCGTTCAGGGTTTCCATCAGCAGGTGGAGGGAGTTTCGGAACTTTTTGAAAGAGAAAAAGGGAAAAATATCAGGGAACAGCCTCAAGAAGCTCAGTCCTGTTTGAGATTGCCTCGGGAAGCTGACCTAGGGATATTTGCTTACTTGTAACAATGCTTTCGGTAATAATCACCAGCTTGGTTTTGTTATGGCAAGAGATTTTAGTTTCAGATACAACATTTGAGTGAATTATGTTACAATGAGACTTTTAAAGGAGTAAAGCTCTCCTATCAGCATGTGCTACATTACAGAAACATGGGACAGACTGAATTATTTTTAGCTTTTGAAGGTCTTATCTACCCTAATCTTCGTCTAATCCATCTCTCCATCACTCAAACACACGGCATATTACTAAGTACTTATTTAGTTTTAAATAAATTTTAAATCAAATTTGAAATTGACAGAGTGGTAAAAAAATTAAACTGTCCATTTCTTCAGCTCCATTGATCCCAATGTGAGACCTACTGAAGAGAACTTTCAGACCAATATCTGAGAGTTTTAGGAGCTCTACTTTTAAAGAAGTACAAGCATCACAAATACCTAATGTACTGCAGTGTATCCTTCTAACCACAGAATGCCCTAATAGATAAAGAAGACTATAGAAACATACCCTACCTGTTTTAATCATGTTAGTACAGATTTTCCTTTTTCTATTGAACTAAATATTCTAAGTAAACCTCTATTTCTACACAGAATATGATAAAAGTCACTTTTGTATTAGAGACGCAGTGTAAGATTTTTCAGCATCCAGCTGCTAAATGTATTTTTTAAAATGTGAGTTTTTGTGCCAGTGTAAGAACTGAGCCCCTGAAATTGTGGCTCAAAACGTATTCGTAATTAGGGTATATTTGCTCCAAAATGTAAGTCATATTCAACTGCATCTGTCTCAAAACCACAAGGGATCCCAGAAAGCACCAGTGCACCTTGAGTCCTGAGATAGAGGGAGAGATTATTTAGTAGAGCTGCATCTTCATACTCACCTGATGTCCCACAGTTTTCTTATGCTCCTTGCTGGCTTGCCCTGGCCTGGCCTTGGCTGGCTTTACAGCCATTCGGGACAAAGGCACACGTCCTGAAGGGGTTGCTGATGTGGGACTGAGGACCTTCTCCTCATCCTGGAATAACTCTGGTAGCAGCTTAAACTGGCATAACAGCAGAAGAAATACAGAGAGTAAAAACACCGCAAGTGATGGTGCCCGTTTGTGCTTGAGGTTGTTAGAATCCAGGCTCAGTTTTTGTAAGCACTGGATTTTTGTTGAAATCCACATGGGTACAAATGCAATCAAGCATTCAAGCTAGTAGTACAGTCAGTGGGTCATGATTTGAAACTAAAAAATTTGTGGATTTGATCAGTGAGTTTCCTTCTGAAGATAAAATTATGATTTGAGGGTTTTTTTCATAGAGCCAGCAATAGCTTCCATGTGAAACTGTTAGATACTGACAGCAGCTTCTTAAGTATTAAGTGCAATTATATATGGCTGCTTTGCTCTAAAAAAGAAACAAGAGTCCAGTGATGCACCAGACTCCTTTGTAGTTGAGAAATATCTAGGACACTGAATAATCCAGCAGACAACAAAGATTATTCCGGCTCTATCACTCTAACTTGAAATAATCAAGTTAAAAGAGGAACTATCACCTGAAAAAAAAAGCGCCAAACCTGAAAGCTGACTGAACATCTACTCTCAAGCCAGTGGAATTGAAGGAAAACCTGAAATATCTTTCCAAATATCACTCAGGGTTTCTGGTTCCCTTTCTATAATGGCTACAAAACACACCCATATTTAATAGCTGCTTTGAAGTAACTGACAACTAAAAGTAACACCACCAGGTCCTTCTACTGACAACTGTAGCACTTCAGATGCATTATGAGAGCAAGAAAATCTGAACTTCTCTACCTGTCAATGCATAATCTTTTATCTAGCATCTGTGCATTTTCTCCCAAGAGGAAAGAGCATTCATTCAGTTTTCAGTACTAGAAAGTGCTTGGGCTAAGTAAAACCTAAAAAATAAAAAGAATTGGTTTTGCCTTGTAAAATTTGGTGAGCATGCATGATATCCAATGAAACATGCTGCACAACAAAATGGTACTTGTGCTCTGTGGTGGTGCCAGATGGGCTAGCAGAAGGCATCAACTGCTCCTCAGCAGCATCCAGCACAGCACTCCAGCATCATTTAATGACTATGAATGCTATCAAGGTATCCTAAACTCCTGAACTAAAAAAAGCAGTTTAGCTTTATCTCATCTGAGCTGTGTTAGGAGCACAATCATCATAGATTACCTTTGTAGCTGGTGGAAGAATGACATCTCCAGAGAGTGATTTAACCTGTCTCACTGACTCAAAGAGTTCAGGATGATTGGGCCACCACCACCTCATCCAGCTGCCTGTGGTCAGATGGAGTGAGTGGGTATGTGCAGGCACCTCAGCTACACAGCCAAGTCTCTTCAGCCTATACACAAACTCATCTGAATGGAGTATCATTGACTCACAGAACGATTTGGGTTGAAAAGGACCTTAAAGATCATCTAATTCCAACCCCCCTGCATGGGCAAGGAAACCTCCCACTAGACCAGGTTTCTCAAAGTCCTGTCCAATCTGGCCTTGAACAGTTACATACTTTGTATGAAACTCCTGATGCTCTCACACACCAGGGGTGGAAAGGACACCCCCAGTGCCTGGACTGTAGATAGCTTAGAAGAGATCATCCATCAGTAGGTAAGCCCCATTCCCTTTTTCCAACCCTGGAAAAATCTGACTGTAAAAATGGGCAAGTGCATTTCAAAGGTGTCATTTCCACAGCCACTGCCTCAGTTACTGCACACAGGAGGAGGAGCAATGTATGGCCTTCTGCAGCAGAGCCCAACACCAGGAGAGCACTGCTGAGATGATCCACACTGTGGGGGAATGAACGCTTTGGTTTTGTTTTGTTTTTCAGTATCTTATCAATTTCTCTGTTTTGCAGAATAGTAGGGGTATTCCAAGAGAGGGAAAACACTGATCAAAGGGCAGATAATTCCCATGGTACAAAAGGAGCAAGCAAGCATTTTTCCCCTGTAATTTCTTCAGACAACTTAACAGACATGCTGCTAGCAGCTTTACAGATAATTTCTTCCAATATAGAGACACAACAGAAGATTTTAACATGCCAGCAGCAAGCATAAAAGCTGAGGACTGTTGTTTTGCTTTCATGATACATGCATGGAAACTGAACAAGTTCAAAGAGGTCCTGTGGGTGGATTTATAGAGAAGGCCAAGATAAATAGCTAAACACTACAGTGCCTGCCAAAAGCAGCCTGTGTCATGCACTTTGGAGAGCAAAGAAGCATTCCAGCTGTATGTGAGAGTGGGCATGGGCAGGATGGCAGATGATGTGGTTCAATTTAGAATTACCTTCTGTTGAATGTGCACAGCAAACCCAGAAAACAGCGACAACAACAACAACAAAATATCAGAAATTCATTCCCACTGCAATTACTGATAAAGAAAGCCTGCTCAAAAGTAAAAGTTAAACATTCCTCTTCTTAAAGTCTATTTGCTGCACAGTTTTTTTTTAAACATTGATTTTGGTAAAATTTACCATTGGGCAAAACCATGTTGTATTTTAGTGTTTAAACTGAATTAACCTACTGAGCCTGCCCAAGCTGTTGTCATGCTCTATATGGCAGCTACATCCCTGTCATCCCTTACTCACTGGACCACATTCCTCAGAGCAGCTCTGCAGTGTCCTGCTGCACCATGGCAGAGCCTGAGCTACACAGGCAGCAGGTCCCCACCAGCCCTCAGGCAAACAGCCACTGACCTCACTCAAACCACTCCAACACTTCCCTCAGCAGAAAGTCTGCTGCAGATCTTCATTATACTACATGCTTTAATCATTAAACTTCATATATCTCAGAATAGAAACAGAAGAGAAAAAACGTTGGTTTTCCTGATAGAATAGCTTCATTTTAAATAGCCTGTCCTTGATACCCAGCTCCCTGGGCCATCAGAGCTAGCAAATTCCCAACAGCCATCACAGCACAAAGTCAAGTTAATTGCCTTTACATTTCAGAAAAGCACAACTAGCATTTTTGCCATTAAAAAAGAGCAGAGGATGCCACTGAAGGCCTGTTCTATAACATTCTTTCACTCAGTATTTTTCAATTTGGATTTTATCTTTCTTTCACAGATATCAAGAAGGCAAGACTATAAATTCTCATTCATGTCCTAAGGGTCTGTACATTTCATTCCTCTCTCATTTTGCCTCTGGAATAGAACTTGTCTCTTCAGAAATTTTCTTTTCAATTGTCAGGCTATAAACAAGGAGCTTCTGTTTTCAGATTACAAAACTAAGTGCTCAACTGTTAAGCCTTCTTATACTACTATAGCATATTACAAGTTCTTGATGTCTTTACAGAAAATACAGCCAAGTTCTGTGAAAAGTAAAAAAAAAACAAACAACAACCCAAAACAAGAAAAAAAAACACACCACAACCCAACAAATAGTAACATCAGTGGCTAAATATAGACTGATCTGACATGGAGCAAAATTAGGCTACAGGACTCCCAAAATTCATACAGACAGCTAAGTAAAACACAAACTATGTTCAATTTCAATCAGTCTCATACTAAGGGAGAAGTAATTCCTAGGCTTTTAAGAAATTTTGTATGACCCTTAATCCAAGGATTCATAACTGAAAAAAAAAAAAAAAAAAAAGGGAAAAAAATCCTTATACCAACCTTACTTGATTTCAGGACCTTAATTTGTTCTTCATAAACTGTGTCTTTATTCTTTTCCAAAAAACCTTCACATTGGTATTCTACCTGAAAACCATCATTTCACAAAAAAAGAGTAAGTGTTAAAGTATTTAATAAGACTATTTTGCACAGAATTCATCAGCTGTAATATTTCCATTTAAAACAGATAATTCTTGTGGATTTTGAAAACATCAGCTCTCAAGTGCATCTTTGTTAAATACAGATTTTCCTCAAAAGGACTGCTTTCCAGTAAAAGGTAAAATATTAAAACATATAAAGACAAACACTGTTACTGCATTATACCAGATGTATTTCACTGCTGAGAGATGCCTGTGGTAAGACAGCATGACTGCAGGGTTACTGTAAGGTGAAGAACCAAAATGTGTGTTGAGCATCTCCTTGACTGGAGTTATGTAACTGAGAACAAAGTATTTCATCTCGTTAGCTGAGAGGCAATAAGTAGATCTGCCTGCAGCTTACTGTGAAAATGCCTCATTTGTACTCAGAAAGACTGTTTTTACCTGAAGCAACAACAAGTCTGAATGTTGTGACAAATACATAACAACGTAACAGGGACACAGAGTCTCCTGGACCAAAGAACACTCAGAGCATCAGATAAAAAAAACTAGCATTTAATTCACTGTCCCAATGAACAAAACCCAGAAACTGTTGTCGAAAACTGGACCTTAGAAGTGAATGTTACTGAATGCAAACATGCTAGCTCTCATGAAGTGTCCCATGCTGCTCTTCAACCTTGTTATCAGCAGCAGTGCAGGCTACAAAACACAGGAGCAGCCCCTGGGAACAACGTCACTACTTCAGAGCAGCCACTGGTACAGCTGAGCAGCCCCTCCCCAAGGGCTCACACAAGGGGACTACACACTGAGCCGCAAAACAGTTAAAAAAACCCCTGTGGGGGAAGAAAACAGAGGATCCCCCCACAGCTGAAAGGCTGCTCTGATCATAACCCACCGATGCTCTTCCTGGGGGAGACAGAGCCACGAGAGGGCAGCAGAACCTGCCTCCCCGCTGAAGTCCCTGTCGAGACTGCTCACCTGGCAGCTACAGCTCTGGTTTTGCCTTCGAGGTGTCTGTGTGCATCCACTTAAGCACATGGGAAAGCACGGACAGAAAAATCAGAGCTCAGAGCTTTGCCAGTGCCTGCTTGGAGCTGCTTTCAGCTTTCCTTGGCCCTCACTGCTCAGACTGGGCATAGGAAAGCCTTGTTTTCAAGTATCAAATGACATTGCTTAATGATAGCCTAATGAACAGTGTATGAAATATTAATTGAATCCTTCCTGTTTCTCTCATCCACCAAATAAAACAGAACTCAGGCATCTGAAAGTTACAGAGAAGTTCTTGCTGCTTTGGTTAAAGTAGCACTAGATGCACCCGGAACAGGACCCCTGTTCTGTGCATAAATTCAAGAACCTGGGAGAAACCAAGTGAGGGCAAATTAAGGCGCCAACCCCCCATGTCAGTCCATACAGATCTACTGATAAGAATCCCAGAGCTTCCCCAAACTTTTTTGACAAAGCTGACAGCACTCTGAAGCAGCTTCTTTGTTTACCAGGACACTTGTTTTACACAGGAATTTAAACTTTTTAACCTGATTTTAACCCGAGGAGTTGCTCGGTTTGATGATGCCCTGAGGGAGCCAACCCAGGTGTGCACTGCACTGAGACACCCCTCACCCAGCTGCCCAGCCAGAGCTGGCACTAGCAGGCACTGCTCCAGCAACAAGAGGAAGGGGGTGTCAGCCTCTTCCCTCCGTGCACATCAAGATGGCAGCAAAACCAACATTACTTTGTTGTTGCTCTTTAGCCAGAAATACAGTGAGATACTTCATGGTTTTCATTTTTGAGTCATTCTTTAGCATAACTGGAATTGATACAATTATGCTGTGAACTGCAAAAACACTGAGCTGTCATGTTTTGGAAAGGGTGGTTCTTTTCTGTTCCTCACTCTGCTCAGCTGCCAGGTCAGCCTTCTTCTCCTGATGGAGCGTGCAGGCAGGCACACATTTTGCAAGAGGCTGGGTCCCAGGGTCCCGTCCTGCACAGAAACTCAGGAACACCCACCACAGAACGAGGTACTGGAGGAAAAGTCCTTACCTTGTCAGCAAAGTGCTTGATGATAAAAGCCTTGTTTGATAGACGTGGTTTTTCAAAGAGGGCACATTTATTCAAATGAGTATTGTACAGCTTTTGGGCCCAAGTGTCATCTGAGCCTTTTGGCATCTACAGAAGAGAACACGCAGCCATTTTAAAAGTCTTGAAAACTTCTCAGTAGCAAAAGAAACCAAGAAGATGGGGGACAATACTCTCTGGTTTGCTTTCAAACTCCAGCTCCTTGGATTTCCAGCACTGCCACAAGCAAGGAAGTCAGTAACCAACTATGCACTTGCCTGTCTAATACTCTGGACAGGGTGCAGCCCAGCAGCAGGTGTAGCTGCTGTGTGACACATACAATGCTAGTAACATTTCCAGTGTGGTCTGGTTTGAGCCAGGATGAAGCCAATTTTTTTTACTGATTTTTTTTTTCTTCAGTGAACTCTCTTTTAAGTAGCAGAGCAGGTTTTCCAGCCAGTGGAGTGACAATGCTCAGTGTTTATAGATACTGCCAAAAGACCTAGAACACTTTGCTCTGCTTGTGGAATCTACTACTTCAGACACTAAAGGAGCAGAAGAATTCTATCTATAACCCTCCTGTAGGGAGGAGTGGACTAGACAGCAAAGTTGGTTCAACTGCCAATCCTGAGTCAAACCAGGACACACTGTCACACACCTGAAAGGAGGGTATCCAATAGGTACATTATTTGACTGAGCAGCACCTCAGAGGGTCAGAGCTCACCCACCACCATTAGAGATTGCTTGGGATGCTTTGTGATACACGAACTCCAAGCTGGATTTCCACTGAAGTGGACACCACACACCATCCCCTGCACGTGGCTTGGCATAAATTAAACTAAGATAAAAACCAAAAGGTAAGACACCAAGCAAGAGGCAATTTGAAGAAATGTGACAGGACCAAAGACTGCACTTGCTACATTTGGGAAAGAGAAATTTGCCAGAGTCAAAACAAAGGTTGATGAGATACCCAGAAACAGATACAGACACCTGATGGAGAGGGGAAAAAAGCATAAGTAAGACCATTTTTTATCCCCCTGTAATTGCCAATTCTGTTTGTACGTTCTCCAAATCCTTTCAACAGCAGTGTCAAAATGATGGCTGTACACAGATGGCTTTTCCCTGGGAGGCCCCAGCAGCAGGATGGCTGATGACCTCTTTCTCTATGACAGCCCCTGAACACACACCTTGCACTCCTCATCCAACAGATCCAGAACTCCCATTTTGGCCTCTATGAGGTTGATGCAAGGCTGATTGTCGTAGAAGTCAATCAAAGTCCATGGTATTTGTTCCTTCATATATTCTTCTTGTTCCAGCTTAAAGACATGCTACAGGGCAAAAAGAAAACAGTTGGCTGTAAGATAAAATGCAGAATAAATGCATCAAACTCTTACTTCAATTCATCTTGGCACATTAAAACAGGCTATTAGTGACATGCTAGTTGATCTGAGTAAACCCTTTAACAAGTAAGTGTATGAAAAATAAATTAACATTTTTCCTGGCCTAAAAGCAACAGACAAACTAAAATGCTCCTCCATATTTTTTGCAAATAAGGTCTATATTTTCCTATCTTATTACTATATTGTTCCACAATTACTATAAGCTCTGTTCTCTTATTAAATAAAAAACAAAACACCACCACAAAATCCAGAAAAAACCTCAAGTGCAGGAGCAGCAACTTATGAAGTGGGATGTGCCATGCATTTATGATTCTGAAGTTATGAAAATTTCTCTATTTCAAGTAAAACTTCACTAGAAATACTTTCACATTTCCTTGTAAAAAAGAAGAGCTCCATTTTCTCTAAAATAGCTGCTGACTTTTTCCTAAGATGACACGTTGCATTAAAATAATCTCTTCAGCAGAAACCTCCAAGAATGACTCCAGTATTAACACAAGAAGACCTTTAAGCAAAATTTAGTGGAAGATTTATCTGGTGTGAAGATCCATAACAACGTAGTTGTAGATTTATTAAAAAATATTAGTAAAAAAAAAACCAAACCCTGCACAGCTTTAATGAATTTTGCACAGGATATGAATTAAAACTTCAGGAAATAAATGATAATGAGATATTAAGCAGGCAAATTGTCTTAAAAAAAACAAACAAAAAAAACAAAACAAAGAGACTGCTGACTCCAGTAATTTTAAATGTTTTATCTCCCATTTAAATTTTAATGCATAAATAACTGCTCAGGCAGGCAGAACTGAAAACCCTACCCAGCAGCAAAGAGCAGGGCTGGGGCTGCCACAGCCCCCTCTGCTGCTGCACAAGCCCACCCAAGGGGCTGGGCTCTCTGCTACGTTGCTGCCAGCCAGCAGAAAACTACTTCCACAAAGTGGTTTATCCCTTTTACTCCACCAGCTTAAGGCCACCCTTCCCAAAGCAGTGCTCCTTGAGGGCCCCCATGGGAGCCATTCCCACCCTGCTGCTCAGCAGCCACGTTACACGCCGAGTTAATTCCCGACAGGAAAGCCAAGGGCAGCGTTTTATTGGCCAGTCACATCCAACCTCAGTCCTGAAAGAAAACATAAAACCATTTCTCCACTGGAGACGAACTGGCAATCGTGTGGTGGGAATTAGGTGGTTTCCCACTGTACTCAGCACTGCCAGGCCACACCTGGAACACTGTTCAGCTCTGGTTCCTGCTATATGGAAAAGATGTGGATAGGCTGAAGAGGGTCCAGAGAAGGGCCACAAAGATGATCAAGCCTGATGTACAAGGAAAGGCTGAGAGAAATGGGTTGGTTCAGCCTAGAGAAAAGAAGGCTTAGGGGAGACTCTCTGACCATGTTCCAGTACTTACAGGGTGGGGATTAGGAAGATGGAGACTCCCTGTTTACAAGGAATCACATGGGAAAAACGAGAAGTGATGGGTGCACGTCAGTCCTGGGGAGATTCCGGTTGGGCATTAGAAGAACATTTTTCACTATGACAGCAGTCAGACACGGGAATTCTCTCTACTGGGAAGTGCTGGGTTCCCCAGTGCTGCACCCAGCTGACTGCCTGGCACGTGTCCCTGCTGCTGGGAAGGACAAGGGCGCGGGCGACGCGGAGCCAGGGAGGAACCCCGGGCAGGGAGCGGAAGCTCCTCCCGCGCTGCAGCACAGCCCAGCAACAGGCCTGGCAGAAATAACCTGCCTCGTTCTTATGCAGGTAAGACACATCATTACAAACGTCAGTTAAGGCAGAGGAGAGAGACTCGTGATCTCTCTGGAGGAGGGGGAAGAGGAGCTTCTTGCCACACGTCAGACATCAACTTCAGGATGTGGCTGAAAACCCTCAGAAATAGGGCCGGGAGAGGCAGCACGGGCTGGGGCCTCCCAGCAGCAAAGCCCTGCTCCTGCTGCCCTGCACGGGCTCTCACTGGAGCTTATGGAGACACAGCTGCCTCCAACTTCATCCACACAGTCCTCTCATTGACAGGCAATCTCAGGGTCTTAATTGCCAAGCACTGCTTCTCTCTGATAATTGTTACTGTGATCAGAATTTCAAATAGTCCCAGAGCAGCAGTTAGTCATAAAATCTATTTCTAGGAGATAGTTGATCTTTCTCCATCCCCCAAAGCCCATGGCCAGGACAGCTGGTTAATAGACTGAAGGAATTCATCGCAGCCACTGGGGACCCAATTAGCAGAATGGACTTGGGTGAGGAGAAGAGGAAGAGGAAATGCCAGTCATTTCCTACTTACCATATTGAACTGCTGCTGCAGCTTTTCATTGGCATAGTTGATACAGAACTGTTCAAAGCTGTTGATTTCAAATGTCTCAAATCTAAAATACGCAGATACTCAAAATTACTAGTGCAGTGTAAAAAACAGATTAAACGACCCTATAATTTTAAATTCCCTCCCCCCAGCCAAATTCGTTGCATTATTCTAGGCATAAACAACCACAGTCAACAACAAAGCTCAGAGGCAAACAGCAAATTGCAGTACATGGGCAACTCAGTGATGCTCCCTCCTTAGGCAGGTATGAAGAACTCAGGGACAGATGTTCTTGGACAACCTATTAGTTACCTTTGTCCTTTCTAGAAGTGTCACCCTAGAGGAACCATGAGATGACAATTCCCTTGTAACTTCCCCCAGTGCAACACATCAAGGAACTACCAAAAGCTCAAAACCCTGAAATCCCATTATAAATATCAAACCTGAAAGTAAAGACAAAGATCTTGGCTAGCATGTCAAAACCCAACACCTACTTCAGCTGGAATAAGCAGCTGGTAAGGGGTTGGGTTTCTTCTGTGCAACCCACAGAGCACTACATGATAAAGGCAAAGATGCTTTGCAGTGAGATAATTACATAAGAGGTGTCATCTCTGACAAAAAGACTCACCCATAAATGTCCAGCACTCCAATGAAGGAATGCTGTTTCACCGTGGCGTGAAGGGCTTTGTTCACATGATCTACAATCCAGTTAAAGAGATTAGCATAGATATGTTTGGCAAGTGCATCTCTGGCATTGATGGCATGAAGTTTAGAAATTGGCTTGATGTAGGTTTCGGTGGCAGTTGCAAGCTTCCTGTGGCACAGCCAGTGGGCCATCTCCTCATACTCCACACCCATAAGGTCGCAGAAGATGGTGAGGGGTTCATGCTTGGGCTAACAAAAACAATCTCGTTACGTCTTGAAACAGGATTATTAATAGCACTCATGCAATCATAAGAACTGCCTGCCTGCAGTGATCCAACAACAAGCAGCCAACAGCAGCTTCCTCAGCTCTTCCTCAAAACATAACGAGTTCCCTACCTGCTAATCATATTCACGTGGCTGAAGTAAATCAGTGCATCACAGCTCCCCAGAGGCATTTTACTACACTTGTGTTCACCAAAAAGCCTCACGCAGGGAACTTGCAACCTTCACAAAAATTAACAACCTCACTTCTCAGGAAAGGACTTGGAATTTTGAATTCTTATAACTATGTCTCAGTTTTGAGCAAAGAAGCCAGTGAAATGCCAAGGACAGGACATGCGCTGTGTGCTGAGGACAGACGACTACTGATTCTGAGCAGTGCTCTTGTCTGTTCACATACATCCATGGCAGAGTGACAGGGAATGGGACCTCACAGCCCAAGCCAAAAACAAAGAGGAAAAAGTGTGGAAGGGATTTAGGGCTCTGGTCTCAATATTTAACCCTGTTTTCTCAGTGAATTCTGAAGCCAAACGTTAAGAGATTGGAGTATGCAGATGATGTTCCCTAACTCTCAAATTGGACTGTACAACTGAAAAAAATGACCCTTGTTTAAGCAAGTAAGATCAGCTAGCAAGACTCGTGTGCAAGATTTCTGCTGAAAAATCAGTTCAGTGCATTTACCACTCATTAAGATACTACATCTGGTGAATAACAAACAAACCAATAGCTAGAAGGAGGACAGACAGGTCCTTCCTCCTCAGGAACTCCCACAACACTACTTCCTCATCACAGTCACTTTGCACCCAGTGGCTCAACAGTACCCTGACAAGCAGCATCTTGACAAGGACAGATTACAGGGCACTGTTGATACATGCCCAATAGCTTAAGGGCACATCAGCTTTATCTTTCCCTTTCCACATCCTTCTGACTTCTCTGGGGCTTATTGCAGCCCTTAGAGCACACAGGTGCTATGGCAGTGCTGTTACACCTCCAAAAGCTGTTTAACCAAGCATGTCTTCTTTCAGTTTAGCCACGTCACTTTAGCTGGCTCAGAAGACAAGTATCAACAATAACAAACACTGCAAAAAAGGGTGTCACATTAGGCTTACTCAAGCTGATGTGAAGCAAGCTGATCCATCCCCACAGCACCATGCAGAGCCCTTTGCTGAGCTCCTGAAGCAGCACCACCTGCCCAGGCAGAGCGGCCGCAGAGCTCACAGCGACACGGCCCTTGTCAGGGAACAGCACAGCCAGTGTCACTGAGCAGCTAGATGTTTACCACCTCTGGATAGGATTGCAGCTTTGTGCTACCTCATTCAGTAGGATTCCTGCACTGGAGATACCCATTACAACACAGGCTAGCTCATCATGTCCTGGGGCTCATCAGCTTTCCACCTGTGATCATTAAATGAGCTGTCTTTGTAGGGAA